TGAAAATTCATTTTTTTTTTTTTTTTTTCAGAGAATGTTGAATTTCAAAGTTCGTTCAGTTTTTATTTCACTGGTAAATCTGGAAAATTCTAATTCAAAAATATAAATTTCAGTTCACATTGTAAAATTTGAAATTAAATGTAAAAATTATTTTATTTACAAATATTTTAAAGTTTAAATAACATTATTGAATTGAATTTTAGTTAATTAATTCTATTTGTTTTCAATCAATGAATCAATTTTTCTGTATTTTGTATTTGTGTATAAGAATGTTAGTAATAATGTTTATATCTGCACTAATAGTAAGATTTACACTGGATCAGTGTCATGAATAATTAGTCACGGGATTAATAGAAACAGAGTTTCGTGCAGTTAAATCCACTTCGACAGCTAGGACAAATGAAATCGTTTATCGTTTCTCGCAATTTTTCTCAATAATTCCTCGGCAGATCTAATGAAATTTTTTGTTGTCTTACCATTCTTGTCAGTCGTAATAATTTCTCCTACACTTCTATACAATTCTTAGTTAAATGTGTATACAGAATATTTTTTAGTTAAATGTTCTTTTCTTTTTCTCATTCCGTCTTTTTTCCTTTCCTTGTATTCTCTCTTTTACTATATTTAAGAATTTTCTGACACACATCAGTTCAGACAATTAATTCCATGAGAAAAATAAAAGAATACTGTTTTATTACTTTATTCGCTTGAAAAAGCAGAACAAACGGATTAGTAAATGCTTCAAGTATAGATATAATACTTTTTTTCGAATATTTAAGAAGGCTTTGAATATTTTTCTTTTATCATTTAATAATACGTGTGCCAGAAGAAATAACTTGATGTTTTTAAATTTAATCTCTTATTTATTAAATCAACTTTAACAAATATTAAATCTTCTTCAACCCCTTGGGAACTATATTGAATTAGACTTGACATTCTAATAAAACTTCGTTTCAAGTTTTCGTTGTACTAAAAATTTAGTTTTAGTGATAATATATTAACGGGTAGACGGGTTATTCATTGCGAAACTGAAAATATAGCCAAACTGTGAATAGCTTGCGAAAGTGGCTTATGAAATATGAATCAGTTGGGATAAAATATCACGTGTGTGACTTGAATCTCAAAGGGTTGATTCAATTTTTCTGTTATTAAAATTTATTAATCGAATATTTTTATTTCTATAATAAACTATAATAAATATAAAATTACTCTTGTAATTATCCTATATTATTTTCAATCGTTAAATCTCTCATTCGAGCATTACAAAAAATCCAAATTCTTTTGTCTATTTACAACTGTATACGTAATGATCAGTATCAAAACTTGTTCCACGCGTATTATAGTCGTGCAATCATGATATTGCCAAGTCCGTTTCACACCTGGGAGCCAGTTTACGTCCATCTTGAACTTCTGCGAGTCTCTCGATCGTTCAATCTCGAAATGTCTTCGCGAAAGGGTTTCGATATGGCGGCGGATAGAGGGAGAAAGAGAGAAGGAAAGAGTGAAAAAAGAGAAAGAGATTGGTTTCGAGGAACGACCGGTCCCTCCGTGTCTCCTCCACCCGGTCGACCTTGAAACCAGCTGACAAACCGAGGAAGAAGTGGCAACAGCATCGTTCGAAATAAGGGGAAGGGATTGCGCAATGCTTCGAAATACCATGACATCGGAACGCCCATTGTCGGACACCCTGCCACATCCTCGGGGTTCCTCTTTGTCTCGACGAATTCATGAAAAGGAAGAGGACGAACGAAGAG